TGATATGTACATAGGCCTGATTCGTAGCATTATTCTTGTAATATGGTTGATGTTGAAACTTCACCATATGATACTCAGACTAATCTGTGCATGTTTTGATCATGGCGGCTGCATGGTTACTTCTCTCATTGATGTCCCATCCTTGGTAGCTCAGAGGGCAGTGAGGTGTTGGTGTAGAATGGGGTAGTCAATGAGCTCCCAGTGTCATTGGACTACAGCTCCCATCATCCCTGGCCTTTGTCCATACTGGCTGGGGCTGATGGGAGTTGAGGTCCATCAACATCTGGCTATGCCCAAGTAAATATGTACCGTCACTGGAAATTGCACTTTATCATGTAAATGTTTTCTAGAGATTTTAATTAATTAAACTAGGAGCCTGGTACCTGGCATTGCTTGGAATTCCAAACAACAACAACAACAACATCATCATCAGTGCAGTTTTAAAATCAGTGGTTAAAAACTGTGTTGTTTTGAAATGTTTAGAAACGGCAGCCACTGTTATCCAAACATAGATAGAAACCTACTCTTTGAACTGAGGAACCATCACACAACATTTGGTTGTGATATCTTAAGAAATGTTCAGATGCATAGCAAGCAAACAACTTTGCAAAATATGTAATGAATTTTATTCGGGGGTTTTCAGCCCAGTATCTTCCCAGCCACATGTTTATTGTAAAGCGCATAAGCAGCACGTGAGGGCAGTTGCCATCCCTAGCTGTTATTCCAGAAGCATGCTGCCTTTGATCTTGGAGAATCTGTCTAAGCCTCCATCCCTATTAGTCATGGTGGGGAAAGCCTCTCCCCCACCCAAGTATGTCACTACTTCACAATGTAGTGCTGTTCCAGGTCCAAACCTCTTAGCCTGTGGTTGGTGAGGAGAGAACTTAACCACAAGTCCTAGTTCAGAGGCCACACTAAGTCAAACCTTGGTTTTGCTCATGCAGTGCATTTAGCAGAAAGGGCAAGGGAGGAACTAAGTGAGTACAAACTGCTCTCTGGGAGATCCAATATGCATTCAGGCTGCATTCACATGACAGTTTATTTGATTTTCATGACTCTTACGTTCCACATTATATTTGAGCTTTTGCACAACATAAAAGCTACTTCTGGAACAACAGTGCAGGTTTACTGTTTTTTTTGTATTATTTGCTTCCAGAAAACATCCACCTGTAAATAATACAGAAATATTCCACTATAGTTCTGGAATTGGCTTTTTACATCCTGTGAAAACTCAAATACAATGTTGGGGAAACGTAGTGAAAACAGAACAAATTGTGATGTGAATGCAGCCGCAGTGTCACTAAGTTCATAATATTGTGTGAACCAAGCCATTGTCTCCTTTTGATTTTGATTTTACATATGTTTTTAATGTATGTTTACATGTGTTTCAATACTTTGGGCCCACATGCATACGAGTAATCTCCATTTAATCCTCTAGATTTACTTCTGAGTGGGCATGGTTAGGGGTACAGTTAGTGTTGGAATTCTATTCCAATTCCTTTGGGATTCTTGGATGGAAAGGCGGTCTACAAATGACTCCAACAAACAAATAATGAAGACAGCAGCATCTTCAGCTTTTATTTTATGTTGTTATTTACAATGTTAATCCCTGCTTCGACCAGACTTTGGTGCATGAAACCCTGTGGGTGTGGAGATGGCTTTTTATGCCAAATCCTCTGTGTCTGCTTATTATTCACTTTTTTCAGGAAGGGGTTCCTCCTCAGATAGTTTTTGAGTCCCTTCACTGAATACACCATGCTCCTTCCGCCCTCTGTTCCTATTTCCCTGCCCAGGAACGGAACACACATTCCTGTTGCCCTATGTTTCTTCTTTCCACAGTCTAGGAGGAAATGCCAAGTATGGAACTCCTAACGCCTCTGTTCCTCCTGCTTCTTCACACTGCCCTCTAGTTCACTTCATGTTTCAGTTCTTGCCATCCTTGTGGCCACCACTGTCCTGTTAGAATTCCTGCTCCGTGATTGCAGTAATAGGATTTTTGTCTTTCACATGATGGTGTATATTTTGACTCCACAGAGTGGGAAGTGACTGAGGCAGGATGTTTGTGTTACTGGGTTCCGTGAAGTGGGACTTTTGTCCTTTGTTTTTTCTCTTTGCTGTCTGATGCTAGAGAGAGAGGGAGCCATGCTGCAGTGCTCCGTGTGTGTTTATATGTAAATAAAGTAGATTAGCCAAAATGCTGAGTTGCTGAGGTCTGTTACGCAAGCGTGCAAACTCTGCGGATCCCTAAGTGTGCCGGTGTCGGTTGGCATCGGTCGCTGTGATGTTCAGGCAGAAGAAAGCTTTTGAAGCTCCCGAACGAACAACCAGGAGGGAGAGAACATGCCAGTCAGGCATATGTCTCTGCCAGGGTCCTACTCGAGTGTAGGCTGAACTCCTGACATGTCCTACCCACCAAACAGAATCTTCTCCGCACACACTGCCTTTTTCTTGCAGTATTATAAGGACAACAGTATTGTTTGGGCCAGATGTTCGGTTGTTATTTTCAGAAATGGGAATTCTTTCAATTAAGATCAGACCCTTAGAGAAACTACTTTTAAGAAAGAAAGAAAATGAAAGGGTGTCCTGCTGATTTTGGAACATAAGAAACTGCTTTGTACTCAGTCACACCATTGGTTTGTCTAGGTCAGTATTGCTGACACTGACTTGCAGCAGCGCTCCGAGTTCCGGGCTGGAGGCTTAACAAGCCCTAACTGGAGACACCAGGGTTTGAACTTGGGATCTTTTGCATACAAAGCTAATGTTTTACTACTGAATTATGAACCATTTTTAAAATTGCAATAATGTGATGTTGTTATTTTTTTTAATAAAAAAAACTTTGTATAAGTATATATGGTAAGAAATGGTGAAATATTGGTTTGTGCAATATATTCAGTTATATTGCATATACATATATATTTTTAATGACCCCTCCACTGTTGGTATACTGGTACGCTTGTATTTTTTGATTCAGTGTGCACTATCCTTTTCATCTAGTTTAACTTCTAAATTCATCATGAAAGACTGAGTCTTGTGTCAAAATAATGTTTTGTGGTTGTTGAAAAGCATAGGTGTATTTCACCTGCACAACCTTTCTTTGATCAGATCAAAATAACCTAGATGTCATCCACAGAAAATGGTTTGTGGCTGCTCAGTAAATATATAACATTAAACTACAAACAACATGTACTGCTATATTTTGATATCGGGGTTATGGCTAATCTGCCATTGTGGGTGCCCAAAAGCAAGTGGATATCCTATCTTGCAAAAACATCAGGAACCCAGGCTTACAAAGTGGAGCCAAGTTTGGCCCCAGACATTCTAGTAACTAGCAGTGCCATCTTCTCCATGCCTTTTCAGGAGTAAGTCCCAGTGAGTTTTTAACAGGGCTTGGCGCTGTGGTCTCAACCACTGAGCCTAGGGCTTGCTGATCAGAAGGTCGGTGGTTCAAATCCCCACGATAGGGTGAGCTCCCGTTGCTCAGTCCCTGCTGCCGCCAATCTAGCAGTTTGAAAGCACATCAAAGTGCAAGTAGATAAATAGCGGGAAGGTAAACAGTGTTTCCGTGCTCTGCTCTGGTTCGCCAGAAGTGGCTTAGTCATGCTGGCCACATGACCCAGAAGCTGTACGCCGGCTCCCTCGGCCAATAAAGCGAGATGAGCGCCGCAACCCCAGAGTTGGCCACGACTGGACCTAATGGTCAGTGGTCCCTTTACCTTTACCCACAGGTAAGAGGGCATAGGACTGTTGTCTAATAGTGATGCACCCAAACTTCAGAATCAAACTTCTCAAGTCCAAAATTTCTAGAGTAGTTGTTCCCTTCCACCTCCAGATGTCTGGAGTTTGAGCTTAGCTCATAATAAGCCGAGCCTCTACCTCCCCAGGAGCAGCCTCCAGCCACCTCACTGCTGAAACTTGCCTTACAGCAAGGATGCAAGGCGCTATGCATTCATTAGGCCCCGCAACGACAAAAGCTATGTGCGATGTGATTTCCCAGTGGTTCTGGATCCTTAGCAAAGGAACCCTTGAATGGGACAATTCCTAGGAATCCTTAGCATGCATTCTTGGCACCAGGAGCCAAGGAAATTATAGACTCTTGGTGCTTTGGGTTCTTATGAAAGGACACTTCTGGGGCACCAGCGTTCCATGCAGAGAGTTAAGGAGAAGAGCAGGGAGCCTTGCAGAAGCGATGGAGAGCATTCAGAGCCCCAGCTTGTTCCAGATCTTGTGTTTCCAGTGGCGTCTCCAAAAATGTGATGGAGCTTTGATGGAGCTGTGCTTAAAATAGTAATTGGGCCTGATCAAAAATGAGCCGAAATTAGCCTGTGTTTAGGAAAGCCCAGTTTGAGTAATATCACCCATCACTATAGAAACAACGAAAAAATATTACTGATGATTAATCACCCTTTAAAACCTGCAGATTGATGTGCCCACTTCCTTCTGCCTCACCGTATGACTGGTGCCGAGTGGAATACACAGTGATCTAAAGCTCGGTTTACTTAAAATGCCACTTTTTAAAAACTTTTTTTTTGGCCTTGCTTCCTCGGGAATAGGCTGAAATGAGAAGCCAAACAAACAACTTTTTAAAAACCCCATAATTTGAAGCTGCGCAACTTTCTGTTGCTCAGTGCAAAGCATGGTTAAGAAGCTAATTCGAACTGAAGAAATCACAGTTGTACTTTTGTTTTCATAATAACGCCTGGCAGTTTGGTACTTTCTTTGTATTCCTCAAGGATCTCCTGGCTTTGTTTTGTGCACATGAGTGTAAAAGAGAAGAGAGGAGCTGAAATCTCTCTGTCTCTGTCTCTCTGGCTGCAGCTTCTAAGTTTACACACATTCCCAGTGTGGGCAGCGATCAGTCCATGCTCCTGTCTCAGGAATCCAGTCCGGCTTGAGAGCCTTGCTGCCCTTTTGTTGTCCTCCCCACGAGGGTGATCAGTTGAGGACTATGTGGTGACAGAACCAGTTTGTAACAGGCTTGTCTTTCACCTTCTCCTCTCCAGGCTTTGCTGGCAAGACTCATGTGAGGATCTGAGAGAGGCGGGAGTGCAAAAGGGCTGCAAAGTGAAATAAGAAAAGGAAAGAAACGGGAGATTTAAACCACAAGCAAATCACTGCTGCTGCTGCTGCTACTGCAATGAACTGGCTAGAAGAACCAAACTGGAGGTTTCACGTTTCCCTCCTCATGCTGCTCTCGATGCACACCAGGGGTAAGGAGATAAAATGTTGTGCAATGTACTTCTGACAGGGTGCTGATGAGCTGAAGATAGCCTCTAACTGCTCTGTTGCTATTGTGAAATGGAAAGCTTAGGGGAGAGTAGCTTGGAGTTTGCAAGCCACCGGTGCTTTGTGCAAAATAAAAAAAGTTCAGCTTGTGCACAACACCATTAGGGCAGTGCATGGGAATTGAAAGCCGATGTGTGCTAAACTTGCAAGCCTCTGCTTTACTGCGTTTTTCTTCGCCTACCCTGCATTTTAGTCACGTTGCCATTTGCTTTTGAGTAGGGTGATAGCATTCTGAAGTTTATAGAAGCAGCAAAACGCCGTTAAGGTCGTTTTGGTATCAGTAGCAACTGATGTTTGCTCTTACACTGTTGATACGGTTCTTTGAAATTACATCAGTGATATGTTGGAGTAAAATTATGCAAAAAAGAAAAAAAAATCTAAGCGGGAATTTAGAGATTTATGCCTTTTAATTTTTTAATAAGATTGCTTTTTAAAAAGGAAGCTGAGTTGAATGCAAATGATTGGGAAACATGAGTCAGCATAATAACTTTTAGCTTGTTTAAAAGGACTGAAAAGGTTCTCATTTTAAAAAGGGGAAAGTGAAGAGTGAAGTTAATGAATGAACTGCACAGGAAACAAGTATCTGGGAAGTTTTAAAAGAATGTATAAATCGACATTCGCCAAAGGGAGATTTTGAACTGAAGACAAACTGGTATAAATAAATGTGTTTAGTTAACGGTTTAGTTATGAGGATGATGTGTCTTTAGAACTGTGAAGATGCTCTGACAGAAGCCAGAACTTAGGACCATTCTAGTTGTTATTTAATTAATTCATGAATCACCTTTTGCATTTGTCGCAAAGCATGTTACAAACATAACATAAAACAGCTAAAAATTGTTTTAAAAAGTACAAATGTAACTAAAGATAGGTTTTGTTTCTGTATTGTTTTTAAACCTAATGCAGATATATTTTCATGTGGTTGGAAAAGCTTGTGTAAACGAAATTGTCTTCAGTTGTTTCTGGAAAGTACATCTAGTGGTTTGCTTGTTGTATGTCAACAGGGATGCTGCTCCAGAAAACAGGCCACTATGCTGAAGGCCCTGCTCTTGAGTTCTTGCATCTGATATTTTGGGGACTTTAAGGAGAAATTGCCCTGCACAACACAGTGATCTATTGGGAATATAAGGGATAAGCTGTTCTCTCAAGTAACCTTGTCCTGAGCTGCATTGGATCTTACATGTTAGTACCAAAACGTTGAACTTTCCCTGGTAGCAGACTGGAAACAAGTGCAAATCCAGAAAATACGGTGTTGTATCTTGAGAGTAGTTTGTCCCCCCCAAACAGCCACTGTGTTCTGCACTTGCTGCTGCTGCCCGACTTACCTTAAGAGTAGCCCCACATAGAGTGTATGGCAATAATCCAGCCTTGATGTTACTAATGCATGGGCAAGTGTGGTCAAGCTGTCCCGATTCAGAAACAGTCAGAGCCACCTTACCAGTTAGTGCATCTTTTCTTAAAAAAATGTTTAGGGGTACTCTCATTTTCCTACTCATATTAAAGTACTGCCCCTCAATGAGGCCAAACTTACATTCACAAAATGTTTAGGGGTATGCGTACCCCTGCGTCCACCCAGAAAAAAAGCACTGTTACCAGCCATAGCTGGTCAAATGCACCCTTAGCTACTGAAGAGACCTACGCCGCCCAGTAACAGGGCTAGATCTATTATTTATTTACTTATTGTGCTTATTAGATTTATAATCTTAAAACTAGTAGAAAACCAAAACAGAAGAAAAACCTAAAGACATGCTTAGGTATAAAAGGGATCAAGGAGCACCCACAAACTACACACCTAGTCATTCAGGGAGACTGGGACCCAATTTACTGACTTCTCAACATGGGAATCACCTACCTCTGACTTGCCAGGATTCTGACCCAGTTGTTAGCCCTCAAAGTCCACCACTGCATCTGGACATCAGGGCCTGCTCGACCATTTCTGATGCAGATGCTATCGAGAAAAAAGTTGGGTTACATCAGTGCCCTGATGACACTTCATTCCATATCTCCCACTGACCACTCCTGGTGACTTCATATAGATAGATGTTAAACAACACAGGATACAATAGAGTGTTCTTTGGCACCACATAACTCAAGAGTCATGGGGCTGAGGAACACTAATCTAATGCTACCTTCTTCAGCTGTCCCTGGAGATGAAACCAGAACCACTGGAGAACCACCAGGCAAGAATGTTCAAGGAGGAAGTGGCCTGTAGGAGGTGGGTGGCCTGAAGGCTACATTTGGCCCTTGGGACTGAAGTTCCAAACCCTGGCCATAAAGTATAAGAACTGGAAGGGGCAGTCCTTTGATACAAATAAATTAATGTATGGTTGTTGGTTTGTTTTTTTAAAAAAACTTTTCTCAAAGATGTATCGTTTTTTCCTCTCATAGAGAACAAATTGGTAGGCTTGTGTGTGTGTGTGTGTGTGTGTGTGTGTATGCAAATGATTCCCAGCTCTACCTCTCCTTCAAATCAGATCCCGTGAAGGTGGTTGGCAGATGGATGGTGGTTAACAGATTGAAGTTGAAACATAAGTACTGTTTTGGGGGGATGAGCAGGTGGGTGTGGGGGACTCCCTGTTCCTGAACAGGTTAACTGTGCCCCTGAAAGACCAGGTGCGCAGCCTGGGTGTCATTTTGGACTCACAGCTGACAATGGAGGCACAGGTCCATTCTGTGTCCAGGACAGCTGTCTAGCAGTTCCATCTGGTACGCAGGCTGAGACCCTACCTGTCCGCAGACTATCTCACCAGAATAGTGCATGCCTTGGTTATCTCCTGCTTGGACTGCTTCAATGCGCTCTATGTGGGGCTACCTTTGAAGGTGACTCGGAAACTACAACAAATCCAGAATGCTGCAGGTAGACTGGTGACTGGGAGTGGCTGCCGGGACCATATAACACTGGTCCTAAAGGATCTTCACTGGTTCCCAGTACATTTCCGAGCGCAATTCAGAGTGTTGGTGCTGACCCTTAAAGGCCTAAAAAGCCTTGACTGAGTATACCTGAAGTAGCGTCTCCACCCACATCGCTCAGCCAGCTGAGGTCCAGCTCCGAGGGCCTTCTGGCGGTTCCCTCACTGCAAGTAGTGAAGTTACAGGGGACCAGGCAGATGGTCTTCTCAGTAGTGGTGCCCTCCCTGTGGAACACCCTCTCTTCAGATGTCAAGGAGATAAAAAATGACACAAGACATCTGAAGGCAGTCCTGGAATGGGAGGTTTTTAATACTTGATGCTTTATGTTTTTAGATATGCTGTAAGCTGCCCAGAGTGGCTGGGGAAACCCAGCCAGTTGGGCAGGGTATATTAAAAAACAAAAAAATATTCTTATTAAACTATCATAGAATCATAGAGTTGGAAGAGACCACAAGGGCCATCAAGTCCAACCCCCACAACTATGATTGTGAATTAAAGGGGTAACACGTAGCTAAGTTGTACTCTGAGTAGATCCATTAAATTTAATGAACAGAAGTTAGGTCCATCAGTTAAAATGAGTCCACTCTTAACAAAACTTAGTTGAATACCACTCAAGGTTTATAGGATTTTGTGTCTCCCGTGTCACTCCTATAAGATGCATGAGCGCACCCAAATTCACCTGTTCTGTCACTGTATCTTTGCTGGTGTGTGTTTTGGTGGCAGAAGTGTTCATGGCAATCTGTTGGTGTTTCATGGCTTCCATCAAATCCTATTGCCAGCAGATACTGAATATAAGAATGTGCTCCAAATCTACTTAATGGGTTTCCAGAATTTTGGAAATATGTTTACTATTGTGCTGGAGTCATTTGTAGCTGGCTATCTTTCCTGCTGTTCCGTAAGATGTGGTGCTAGTTTGAGAGACGTTAATTTTCCATCATTCTTTGTTCCACTCCTTTTAACATCCCAGAGCATTTTCTGGGAAGAAAGCTTAATTGCAAAAACTTGTTTCCAAGTAAGCATACTGCTGCAGATCGCATTCTGTGTGAAAATCTGATTGTACAAGCACAGGTGCTCGTTTTTAATCTCGGAGGACCCATTAGGAAGAAAACGTTCCAATATTACTGAGGAAGTTGAAGGAGCGGCTTTGGAAAAATTAAAGAAGCCTTAAACAGATTTTGAATATATAGATTATATTCCATTGCCAGATGCTGGGCAGCTCCTCCCACATTAAAACACAGATTCTTAATGGTTTGGCTGACCCTCAAGGGAAACAGATCTGTACTAAGATATGAACATCTGTAAGGGCGTGGAAAGATTTATGCAGGAAACCTGCAGTGGACAGCTGAAAGACAAACACTGACAATCTCTCTACCCAACAAAATGGAATTTTGCTGTCTTATTAGGCCTATTCCAAAAGGGAAACATGAGAAAAAGTAAAATAAATATGAAGGAATACAAAGTCAAATTAGGAGAACTAATTCAGTTTAACATGTGATATGTTATCAATATTCATGCAACAATATTCGTCCATTCACATACACAATCATCCTCCTTGCTTTTTCCTTTGCTGATAGGAGCATTTGTTAGCTACATAGAACCCTGATATTTGCTGCATACATAGGCAAAGATAAATCTATCTTACTTCACTTAAAATTAGGATATTTATACAGTGGTGCCTCGCAAGACGAAATTAATCCGTTCCGCGAGTCTCTTCGTCTTGCAGTTTTTTCATCTTGCGAAGCACGGCTATTAGCGGCTTAGCGGCTATTAGCGGCTTAGCGGCTTTAAGAAAAAGGAAACAAACTCGCAAGAACTCGCAAGACGTTTCATCTTGCGAAGCAAGCCCATAGGGAAATTCGTCTTGCGGAACGACTCAAAAAACGGAAAACCCTTTCGTCTAGCGAGTTTTTCGTCTTGCGAGGCATTCGTCTTGCGGGGCACCACTGTACTTGTTTTCACACAGAGACTAAAAGGTATTTCCAGATCAAAAGTAGAACAGGTGTCCCTTCTACTACAG